TGACTTTTCATTACTCAACAAAAAATTAAAATTGATTGCTTAAACAAGGTAAAATACACTTCTAGTGGCATAGCACTTTCTATAACGAAAGTTTCATGCACATTAGATATAAGAAAGGCTGTATCCAATCATTTTCAAGAACAACGCTATACACATGACATATACAGTCAATACTAAAATTCTTAGGTACAACAGTACACATATACATACGGTACATATCTCTATGAGAACATATCATCTTCCTCTCCATACACCACAGGCTGTCTCTTATCTTTATGACCTCCTTTTTGAGAATGACTTGCAGCTGTAAAAAGGGACACATGAAATTACCACCTTACTTTGTACTTCAAACATGAGGTCTGATCAATGCAAACCAAATGACATACCTATTGCTGACCAATGACCAGATGATGAAGAGGGTGCATCACTGACAGGGGTGATCTGAGGTTGTCTACGAGCTAATGATACCTTCAATTGAATTCCTGACACCTTACTTCCATTAATCTGCAAGAAGAAATGCAAATTTAAGGCATAAATTCCGGTAATTATTTTTCATACCATAAAATGAGCAATATAGATCTGGACAGAATTATGCTAATTTCAAAACAATATACCTCAGATATGGCACGCTCAGCAGCTTCTTCAGTTTTAAAAGTAACAAACCCACGGCTAAAAAGAGAACAACCCAAAAAACAGGAATGTAATTTCAGAAAAGTACTAAGACAAGAGAAAAAGTAATAATTTTAAGTCGAACAATTTAGATAATACTTACTCTTTTTCAACTTCCATAGATACATTTATAATGGTTCCACAGTTCATGAAGGCTTTGCGGAGCAGATCTTCAGTTATTGAGTAACCCTGAACAAAAATTGTGTTCCCTGCTCTTGGCTTTTCCGTTTTCTTTTCTTTGTCTTTATCACCTGCATCTTTTTCTCGAGCAGTTACAAAACTATCATATAGGTTCTGAAATTAACCATAGAAAAATTACAAATAACATTGTGTAAGTATGTAGATTATAAAATTTGTCAAAATACTACAAAAAATACATAATATAAAAGAGAAAAACATGAAATATATGTACAGTACACAAGATCCTTACCTTAACACGGGGCTTTTCTGGAGGATCTGCTGGGGCGGCTGGCACCTCGTCTGCATGAGCTGGCTGGAATGGTTGATATGCACTGACAGTTCGCTCAGCTGCAGACAATTTTCTTTCTAAACCACGAGGCCTCTTGAACCCAGCCTGTTCTGTTCGCTTTTGAATTTTGGGTATGGCAGTGATAGCACCAGATTTCAGAAGTTTCCGAGCAACTTCACGGGCATCTCGACCTTCTGTTGGTCGTTTCTGAGTGGGAGCTGTTCTCTCAGGCTCTGGTTTAGGAGCTTTCCAGGCCTGCAGAGCTTTTTTCTGTGATAATAAAGGAGAGTTGTATTACTTTAAAGCACCTAATGAATTAAAATACAAAAATTTGTTCCAGGTTAGTTTTTAAGGAAGGCAGATAGCACTCTGTTTGTTCAATGACTCACCTTTTTCTTCAGCTTCTGATATTTTGTTTGTAACATTAACTCTTCTTCTGTGAGATTATTTGGAAAATGTAAATAGACCATTTCGACAAAAATGAAATACAAACTTCATAAACAGAAGCTACCGCGCAAGATTGTTGTTTATTATTCGAAACAAATTTTTCATTTCTACAACTTTCAGATCCCCCAACATCACAGTTTCCTACGAACAATTACAGATCCATCTTTTCCTCATACAAAACTAGCTAAAAAAATTGTTGTTAAGAAATTCAAATTTGCTCTATTATCGAGGACGCACGCGTAGTGTCCTAGAAAGTTCAATTGAGGTAAGGTTCGTGAAACATTCCTGGTAGTTGGTATCTTGTCTGTGGCTGTATGAAAAATTTGACGAGAAGAACAAACAAGAACAACAAAAACAACAACACTGACGCTCTTGTTTTGTTTTTGTTCTGACATACGAAAGCAGATGACGTTGCTGTTAAGCCCACACACTTTCCACCGTGTTCAAAACCACTTTGCGGTCAGGTCAGGTGTCAGGGTACACAGTGCAGCGGCAGGCACAGGTAGAGGTACCACATTCCAATCGTAAGTTCTCCGTCCGACTGCACACCGACGTGTACACTTCAAATTCAAGAATGGCCGCGAAAGGAGCTACAGCGCCGAAAGCAAGAAAGGAGCCAAATGCTGCAGTGAAAGCTTACCTTGTCTTTTACAATGTAGCACAAGTTATAGGGTAAGAAAAAACTGAAGTAGACTCTCCAAGCAAAAGTGATTATTCATCCTCTGATTTGTGAAAGTCATCATTAACATGCTCCTTGGTGTGTTTGATTCTTGTACTGCAATATTCCCTTCGCTACCTTACTAATTGAATAGACGTAAAATGCTTTATAACATTAGAAGCACTTCTTTACTGTGACTAACATCTATACTCTAATTTTTCTTAGTAGACTATTTTTATCCGGATCATAAATTTTGTTTACAGATGGAGCTATCTTCTTTACCAGTTGATATCCTACCATATAAATCCTCCGAAAGACGTAACTCTGTGGGATACAGTAAAATACACTGTGATCATTTTCCAGAATGCTGCCCTTCTTGAGGTTTGCCTGCTTGTCTACAAATTGAATTTTCATGTGATACTGAATTCAACTTAATGTGCTGTCTATTATCTAGGTTTTTCATGCTGCAGTTGGTTTTGTGGTCACCAATGTGTTTATGACACTTTGTCAAGTTTACTCCAGGGTCATGGTGGTTTGCTTGGTCCTCCTCGCAACTCCCACTGCCCCTCTTAGTGTTGGACTTCCCCTTGCTCTATTTGCTTGGACCATCACTGAAATAATCCGCTACAGTTTCTATGCCCTCAACCTTTTCAATGCTGTTCCTTACTTCCTCATTTGGTGCAGGTAAGTTACTCCTGTTTATTACCACAAATTGAAAATTTCATTTCACAACAGCCTGGCATCAATTTATTACTTTATGTTTTCTTTTCCTATAGATATACCTTTTTCATCGCCTTGTACCCAATTGGAATCACTGGAGAGTTGCTGTGTATTTGGGCAGCTTATGTATATTCATCTGAAACAAATATGTGGTCGTTTGCTCTGCCGAACACATTCAACTTCACTTTTGACTACGGCTACTTCCTTCTTTTCAGTATGATTGCCTACATCCCAGGTAAACTCTTATTCTGAGTGTGTTTTTCGTTCTTTGTTTGTGTGTGTGCTAATCAACTTGCTTTCTGTGTGTCTTTGTGTGCCTGCAATGCTTTGATGTAACACGTGTTGATTAATGCGTATGCTTGCTTTTTTTGCAGTGTTCCCTCAGCTATACATTCATATGTTTGCTCAAAGGAAGAAAGTTCTTATGTCATAAATCGAATTTGTAATTTGTTTGCAGTGTTTCCTCAGCTCTATTTGTACATGTTTGGTCAGAGGAAGAAGGTCATCGTGGGTGAGAGCAGCAGGAAAAAGACTAAGTGAAGAGTTGCGAGTAGAATTTCCTCCATTTTACAAGAGAAGACTGGTTTCATGCTCAATTGTAAGC